ACTTTATATGATGGAGGAAAATTCATTGGTGGTATAGTAGTCAGTACAGTATAGTAGATACAGTAGTCAGAGATAGTTTGGCTCAACATGCTCCCCTGAAGAACAAATGAAATCAGATATTGTATGGTGAGATATAACACAGTGTGGAGCTGGAGAAACACAGCAGGCCAGGCAGCATTAGAGGAACAGGAAAGTTGACGTTTTGGGTCGGGACCCTTCTTCAGAAATGGGGAGGGGGTAGGGAGCTCAGAAATAGCTAAAGAGAGGAGGGGTGGGGCTGGGATGGTGATAGGTGAGTGCAGGTAGGGAGTGGTGGGGATTGGTCAGTGAGGCGGGAGGGGCGAATAGGTGGGAGAGAAGATGGAAAGGTTTTGTCAGGTCAAGGAGGCAGGGATGAGAGGGAGGGTTGGTCGTTGGATGAGGCTGGGGATGGGAAGATTTTAAAGCTGGTGAAATCCATGTTTAGGCCATTGGGCTGTAGGCTCCCGAGGCAGAATATGAGGTGCTGCTCCTCCAGTTTGTGGGTGGCGTCATTGTGACACTGGAGGAGGCCCAGGATGGACATATCACCCAGGGAGGGGGAGGGGGTAGTTAAAATGGTTTGCAACTGGAAGGTGTTGTTGTTTGTCACGAACAGAGCACAGATACTCTACAAACCGGTCTCCGCTTGGTCTCATCGATGTAGAGGAGGCCACATCGGGAGCAGTGAATGCAGTAGACCAAGTTGATGGATGTGCAGGTGAACCCCTGTCTAATGTGGAAGGTTTGTTTTGTGCCTTGATTGGAGATGAGGGAGAACTGTGTAGGGGCAGATGTAGCACTTCCTGCGTTGCAGGGAAAGGTGCTGGGGGTGGTGGTGTCACTGGGGAGTGTGGAGCGGACGAGGGAGTCGCCGAGAGAGCGGTCCCTATGAAAGGCAGATTGGGGTGAGGTGGGAAATATATCTTTGGTTGTGGGGTTAGATTGTAGGTGGCTGAAATAGCGAAGATTGGATACGGAGGTTGGTGGGGTGATATGTGAGGACAAGGGGGATTCTGTCTTTATTTTTGTTAGGGGGAGGGGATGTGAGGGCAGAGGAGTGGGAAACGCAACAGATGTGGTTGAGGATATTTTCAATCACCGGAGGGTGGAAGTTGCGGTCCTTGAAATAGGAGGACATCTGGAATGTGCGGAGTGGAATGCCCCATCTTGGGAACAGACGTGGTGGAGGTGCAGGAATTGGGAGTAGGAGATATTGTATGGTAATCCTTTTGATCCCCAATAGCTTAGCTGTTACTAGAGTTATTGGTGCCATTCTAGGTTGTATGCTGCCTTTATGTCAAATGTAGCTATTCTCATCTTCCCTTTAACATTCAACCCTCGCATTAGTTTCTAGTTCAACTATAGAGCTCAGTAGTTACGGTAGAATTTGAGCTGAGCATCAGTGAATAGGTTTGTATGAGTAGACTTGTTCTTTGATGGCATTGATCTTTTCTGATAACGCAATAAAATGTCTCAAAGCACTTTTGATAATAATTGGGAGGATTCTGACCAGCCAAATATATTCTGGCCAATTTTGGAGATATACGTGAAGTACCCTCCTTTTGTTATAACTTGGTAGCCATATAATACAGAGCAATTAATTTTTGCTCTAATCCTTTCGATCTGTCAACAGACTGCTTTTTGTATTTAGCATGCAGGTAACTAACTTTGTACCTAAGGTTTGTACCTAATTCTGAGTTCTGCCTGTGCTTCCTTCTATACTTCATAATGAATCAAAGCTGTCTCCTGGCTTGATGACAAGTAAAATGAGGGATTTGCAGCGTTATGAAGCAACAGATGTTTGTAATTATAGAATTCTGTTGTTCTTGATGATTAGCAATCCCTTGTGGATTCCCAGTTTTGTATTCTAGGTATGTTCTTGGTCTATCCAACTTAGTAGTGTAGCAATATCATAATAAACTTCGAAGATGAGACATTGTCTTCACTGAAATTATATGGTACCATAGACAAACATGTTTTTCCATGTGATGAAAATGATATCCAGTATGCATTTCATTGAGTTGACTGCATTTCTGCCTGGTGCAGGTGAAGTCTGATAATCATGTGATTAAGACTCAGCTGTTATGGACAGTGGTGGTAATATCCTGCCAGTATATCAAGGTCTTTCATTCAGAACATATCCTTGCTCCCTCAGAACATCTTCCAAGTGATCTTCAAATTTGAAGAGCAAGAGCTGAGCAGTTAAAAGTAGACAGTGGCAGTAGGTGGTGATCAGCCAGAGGTTTTCTTGACTTTAATTGACTTGAAAGCACAAGACATCATTAGGTTTAGATAAGAGAACTACAACAGCCACATTAATTGGTATAATATTCATGTGCATTCCTATTCTGATCGGGGAGGGGAAGAAGTGGAGTGGGCAAGTTCCATTCCCCTTGGATGTGATGAACGACTTGTATTTTTCCAGCAATTTGGAAGGTGCAACAAATGTTTATGAATGTAAATGGAATGTTGTTTATTGCAAGGAAGCACATAGCATTGCGACTATCTGTAAGTCTTTGTACTTTTTTCTTGCTGTCAGCCCAGAAATTACCAGATGTGTTGACTTTGTAATTTGTTACTTTCGGATGTAAACTCTTGGGGAAGAAATTTGTTTGCCAGTAACACTATGCTAACTTGTGCCAATTCCCCAAGGCCAGGCAAAATTAAGGACTGTTACCTGCATAACCTATGTGGTGTTTCTCAATGATATCAATGGAGAATGCTAGAAGCTATGAAACACAAACAAAGTTTTTCTAATCCAGTGCCATAATATTTAGGGTATCGTTGTCTGATTCAAAGAAGTTGATACTTTGAGCCAAAAATAGAAATTGCTGGAAAAGCGCAACAGGTCTGGCAGCATCTGTGAAGAGAAATCAGAGTTTATGTTTCAGATCGAGTGACCCTTCCTCAGAATAATTTCTAATGCATTTACATTCTTTAAAATGGAGACCAAAATATTAACTCTGATTTCTCTTCACAGATGCTGCTAGACTTGCTGAGCTTTTCCAGCAATTTCTATTTTTGTCCCTGATTTACAGCATGCATAGTTCTTTTGGTTTTTACTTAGTACTTTGTCTGTAACTGGTGATTTTATTGCAGAAGATAAATAAAAATAAGTTTATAGCTGCAGCAAGAATAAACAAAGAGTTGAACAGTACTGAGGTTCCATTATTTGACATGTACTGCTTATACTTTTAGTTTTCTTATTTTTATGTAATTTTATTCTATAACATTGTAGATTACTAGTGTTTCTATTTACTAGTCTTTATGTAATCTGAAATTTGGATCTTGATGCAAGGAACTATTCTGAAATTATGCTATATGAAAATGACTTCTAAATCCATATTTTAAGAAGTGGGGTAGCTTGCATATGAACATGGGTACAAACCTTGAGCTGGAGTAGGCCATTTGTCCCTCTTAGACTGCTTTGCCATTCAATAAGATCAGGGCTGATCTGATTGTGACCTCAAATCTGCGCTTCTGCTACCCTGATAGCCTTTGACTGCCTGTTAATCTACCTCTACCTTTAAAATATCCAATGATGCCAATCTCCACTACTCTCTCGGGAAGAAGGTTCTAAAGACTTGTGAGCCTCTGAGATGGGAGGATCCTCTTTATTTTAATCTTAAATGGAAGACCACTTATTTTTAAATTGTGGCTGCTAGCTCTTGTTTCTACCACAAAGAGAAACATCCTTTCAGCATTCACAATGTTGATCATAGGCATTAGCCAAGTGAACTGTTTCTGAATAGTTTCTAATTCATTTACATCCTTTAAAAATGAGACCAAATTTGTATATTGTACTCCAGATATGGCCTCACCATCACTCTAAGTTTATAGCAAAACATCTCCACTTGTATATTCCATGCCCTTTCAATAAAGGCCAATATTCCATTTGACTTCCTAATCATTTGCTGTACCTGCATACTAAGTCCTGGTGATTCTATACTTATGACTAGTCTCTATAGCATTAGAACAAAACATTAATTCTCTGGGAGTCTCAGAAAATCCAAAGTAACAACAGACTGAGTTTTAGGCACCCATAGCTCAATTAATGTTTAACTTGAGTGCATAAAGGAATAAGTCATTCACCTCCTTGATTTTGCATCATCATTCCATTTGATTACTGCTAATCTGTATTTCAGACCTATAATTCCATAATTCTACTACCGTTAGTGTGAAGAAATCTCCTGATTTCACTTCTGAATAGTTTGGCTGTATTTTTAAGACTATTCCCCTTTCTGGATTCTGCCACCAGAGAAAATGTTCTTTCTCATTTCCCTTTATCATTTAAATGTCTGGATTAGATCTTGCTTTTAAAAAATGAAGTAAATTCTCGCAAATTGAAAACTGAGATTAGGGCAATGTTTAATTCTCAAATATTGAATATGCTTTAGAACATGGAAAAATAAGAGTAAAAATAGGCCAGTTAAGCCATTGAGCCTGCTGTGTCATTCAGTTAGTCTGTGGCTGATCATCCACTGTACTGTATCTTCGAACACTATCTCCTCATCGCATGATTCCCTTAATATTCAAAAATCTACCAATATCTGACTTTAATATTTTTGATAACTGAGTATCTGCAGTGCCTAGACAGTTTAAACACCATTAATTGAAGAGACTTGGCATTTAACTTGCTCATGACCTTAGCCCTTGTGCTGTCTTATCTCTAACCCCACTACCCATTATGCTCCGAATATCTTGTATGCTACTACACCATTCTGTTTTTGTTTTACTATACTTCATTAATACAGAAATAAAATCGACTTTTGAGAGGCTTTATTCCTTCATTAGATGTTTTTCACATTATCACATTATGTCAGGCTGGTTGCCTCAAAGAGACAACATGTGATTTGCCTTCATTAGTATTTTAAAGTTTAATTATCGATTTAATTTTTTGAATACATTTCAGCCTAGGTTCTATTTATGTATGCTGTATAGTTTTTGACATTTTTTTCTACCTCTCATTTTATTTACAGACTATGAATGACTTTGATTATTTAAAACTACTGGGAAAAGGCACTTTTGGAAAAGTAATCTTAGTCAAAGAAAAAGCAACTGGGAAATATTATGCAATGAAGATACTAAAGAAAGAAATTATTATTGCAAAGGTAGGCACAATGGTTTACTTTGGAAGAAGCAATATTTGAAGATTGAACATTTTCTTTGAAGTTTGGATTTTAATGCAAAGTACAAAAATGCAAGCAACAAAGTTTTAAAACAATACTTGGTAGAGTTGAGGACTGCTTTGTTTTCTCGATGTTTCGTTGAATTATGTTGAACAACACTAAATATTCCAAATATGTTTATAATGTGTGTTGCTGTGTTTTGTTGCTTCATCAGTTGTAAACCACTTACTGAGTACATGTGCAAAATTTCTCTCAACTAATTGTTCAGTCCATATTTTATGTACCATAGCTTTTGTTAAGGTACTCATTAGAAATTTTATTTTAGTTTGAAGCATTTGATTTAAAAATGAAGTCAAGCAAAAGGGAAAAACTATTTGAAAACATACACAAGAGATGCATGGGGAAGAAATAACTGCTTTACCATTTGCTAATTCCAACTTTAATTACTACTTTATTCTCCACTCCTGATGGATTTCTTGCACTGCCGTATGGAGATGTATTAAAGCAGTGCTTGAGGTGACAACATAAGTTTTGCAATCTCCTACCCAAAACACAGTGGAAAGCAGAATGTATGCCTTTGCACAGAAACTAATCACTCACAACACTCTCAATTAGAAAGCAACATTCACAGCCAGACAACTCATACTTTATGATCATGTTTTGCAAAGGGCAATATATCGAGAAAACTGCCCCATACGTTTGCACTAGGTATGCAGGATCTATGCGTGATGCCCACCAGCTAGCTTCTTAAATGTGTAAATCAAAATCATCATATCAAATGTATAGCATTCCCTTAAAAATTATACAGATTTGCTGTATAAAAAGACGCAGAGTACCCAGACAACTTCAGCTTTTCAACACAGCCAAAGTTAATAATATTTCCCTGTTCTGCACTGTATCAACTTGCACCTCGTATGTAACATAATGAAATAATACAGTATATACGAGATACGTAAATTGATTTGTTAAGGTTCCTGTGAAGTGTTGTAAGTTAATTAAGGGTCTTGAATTTTTCTTTCTGCAGGCAAAATAGGATTACTGCACCCTTACACTTAATGTTGTTTTCCTCAACACAGAAATAAGTGTGCTCAGTTAATTGTTGTTAATTTGACTTCAGAAACACTTTCATGAGTTTTCTAATGTGTCCTACTGCTAAATACTGTGACAGGGTTTTTCTGATGGAGAATTCTCAGTTTCAAATACCACAATGTGCAAAGTAGTCAAGTGGTGACCAAACACCATTAATAAATTAACAGCAATCATTCTGTGACATTTGCACACTCCTTCTAATAATTGGCTATGGAGCAAGATTTATACTAATTTGTATTAATAAAAATGTACTTAATTATTGAAAATGTGGAAAGAGGCCAGAGAAAGGTGAAACCTTTATGAAATCAGTTTGAATTTTCTTCCCCTCTCTTCTACAGGGAGAATTTTACTTAATTTGTAGAGTTTATTTTCTACGTGAGTACTTAATTATGCAGGAGCATAGTATTCAAATAAAAATTTGTATGGCAGAGGATATTTTAAAGTTAAATACATTAACTTCCTGTATGAGTGTTTTTATTGCTGCAAAAATAAACTAGCATGCATATTTACAGATCCCATGTCTGGAGTGCAGTCTTCACCAGGAGCCTGTACAAATAGTCGTTTGGACCTCTGTGCTACCATCCCATAGAAAATGTATAAAATTTCAGTAAAATGGCATTCAACTTTTGAAGTAAAAATCCTGACATTTAAAACTATTGATTTATTTGTATTGTGTGTAAACATTCTACAAGGCTGTTTATTTGTATACTTTACTATACATTAGCAATTTAATTGCTAAAGGCTTGAGGCAAAATGGGAATGTAGAGGGCCCCCAAAAATTCTTAATCTATCTCTGACTGCAATCTTTCTTTATATCTTTACCTTTTGATCTTTGCTTCCTGTGCCGAGGCATTCTTGGACCAAACCAAATGGCAGTGCTATAAAGGATAGAACACTTTGCCATCTAGCAACAAATCTCACACTAATTAACCATCTTTACATCTAAATAAACTGAAACACAACTGTTTTTAATCTGCTTTCTTAATTATTATATTAGGTTTTACTAAATTGAGTGTTTCCAGCTTTAAAATAATTAAACATTTAAGTGTACTAATCTCATTTTATGCTTAACTAATATCCATCCAGCTTACAGTTTGAATGCCTTGCCTTAGGAAAATTTGGGACAGAAATATATAAATAACTGCTATATTACTGCCATGCTATAATTTTACTTAGTAATTGTTTACCTTTTTAACTTTTCTGTGTGTGCCTAATTCTGTTTGTATGGTTATAGAAAAGAATGTTATCAATTTTATGTCTGTCATTACCTGCACAAGAAATATAGGATCTCAGTAGTTATTTCTAGAGAACCTGTCATTTATTCTGTGTTGAATTCTGGGAAATCAGCACCTTTGCATTCTTGTGAAAGCAAAACTGTACCTGTTAATTGCTTGTAGGACCTGTTGATAAAATTTATTTTTGAAAATAATGAAAAACAGAATATATGGTCTCTAAGCTTTTAAAAATATATGTTGTGATGCTGTCCTAGCAATTTGCAATCCCACGTACTCTTCTCTGTTGTAATCAGGACAGTGGACCGCATATTCAGGCATTTCTAAAGCTGCATGAATAAAAAAGGAACTGTGGTCTTGGAAATAAAACATGCATTGCTGCCACCATGTGAAATTTAAGAATGGTCATTTATCATTTCGTGAAATACTTCTAATATCGTGTTGCATATGATGAAGATATTAACAACAAGCAGTACATAAATAAGTAAATTTCAGGTACTTTATTTCTGAAAGCAATTACAGTTACTGAACATATCTACCCCAGAGGGGCAAGTCACTTAGTTAATAAAAGCAGTGCTTTTGATTTTGAGCTTTATTTTCCCTGACTGTTTTAGTTCTATGCTGATCTCCAAACAGTTAAACACATTTTAAGACAATGGGAAGATTCGGTGGGCATAACTTGTTATGACATGGAGATAGATAGCTGAACCAAACAGCTTTTCTACCTCTGTATTCGCAACGCAGTAAAATTAAACCCTTTGAAGACCCTCAACAGTTACTATAATGGTTTAATTGAATAAACAATCTCAGACTTTGAGAATAATTAATTGCAAACACCAGTCTGTATCTCAAGTAAAAGTTTTGACAATTTGTTGAATATACAATAACTTTAGCAGAGGAAAAGAAAACACAAGGTAATCTAATAAATGTCTATGATTCAATCCTGAAGCGTTTGTTTTCAGCTCCCATTCTCACACGAGACTGAGAGACAGACAAATACAGTTAAGGGATAAATAGTGGAAATTAATGAAACTGGCCAGATTTCTTAAATTGTTGCTTGATTTTCTGGAAATGTTGAGCAGGTTCACCATTTCAGTTTACTCAGGTAAATGTAGCAATACTTCTAACTCATCTTTCTACTCTTTTGGTCTTTCAAATGCTGGTGAGGGAGATTAGGCAGGGAGCTCTCAAATCGTCAGTTATGCTGTGTCATCAGCAACTAAACTCATCATCTCAGAAACCACAGTGCAAAAAAGCAACTGCACCTATGGCCCTGTCCTGAGAGATTGACATTTTTCCATGGTCTCAATTACCATTCAGCATCTACTGTCTGCTTGAAACTATGGTCTTGAAACCAATTGCCAGGTATTGACCTTTTTAATAGCTGAATTCTGCTATCTGTTTAAACACAATGCTGTTCCTGAGGTCTGTGTCTTTAGGAACCCTTTTAAATCAAGAATCAGCCAGCAGTTAACCTCCTGTCCTAACCTCTGAAATAAGGTTTGTTTGATCTATTCCTTTCCTTTTACCACAAGCAGTTTTCCAAAGTCCACAAGTGATTTTTAGCTCACAATTCCCAGTTCACAGCTAAAAGCCAAAATTGATAAAATTGATATAGCGATAAATCAGCAAGGGTTCTAATGAAACAAACCGGTCTTTCTCTGTGAAAGAGCATTTAACTGCCAAAACTGAATGTTACCCTTGACCTTATTGAAAAGTTGTTTAAGAGAACAATTTTCTTCGGTAATTTTAGCAGAAAATGAGTTATTTTTGTTGGCTTTTGACCACTACATAAACAATAAAGGAGAAATTTCTATGGTGTGGTGATGTGGAGTGTATTTTAAATGAGAACAGGCACACATCTTAATCTGTTTTCCTTTTGTAAATCTATAACAGTGAGTGAGGTGAGTGCTTTTTTGAATGTTTATATTATGATCTGTCTCTTGATTGACTTTTAATAGTAAGGATTGGTAATAAGTTATCCCAAAGCAGTGTTTTTCAACAGTAACGCTGCGTTTTGAGCAAAGTGTGCAGTGTTTGTTTTTAGGTAATTTCTGGGTCTGTTGAATGTTAAAGGGCAGAAATGATTGTTAATAGGGTGATGGGCTCTTCCTGTCAGATGTGGGAGATGAAAGAGATTTTGAATGTTCCTGGAGACTATGTCTGCAGGAAGTGTGTTTGGTTATGAATCCTATTGGACGGCATGGATTGATTGGAGTGGCAGTTAAAGGAAATGAAGAGTTTACAAGAGCAAGGGGATGTGATGGATGGCAGTTTCAGAAAGTTGGAGACACTGTAGATGCAGTCAGATAGACACTTGACTGCAAGGAATAGTAGGAGAGGTAGCCAGGCAGTGTAGGAGTCTCCTGGAGCAATCCCCATTTCAAACAGTTATGCCATTTTGGATACTGTAAGGGGGGGTGGTGGGACTGGCCTCTCAGGGGAATATAGGACTGACAGCAGGTTTTCAGGTACCATGATTGGCTCTACTGTAATGAGGGTTATGTCAAGTTCCAAGTGACTGATTGTAATAGGGGACTGTCTAGTCTGGGCGAATGACATCAGAATGGTGTTTGCCTCTCTGGTGCAAAAGTCAACGATGTCTCAGAGAAGGTGCAGAGTGCTCTGAAAGGGGAGAGTGACCAGCAGGAGGTTGTTGTG